ACAGTCGTGGATTTATCTGCCTCGAGTGCTTGGTGTTATTTGTGTTAAAACTCTGATGATAAATTTTCGTATAGTCGTAGTTTTACCAAGAGGTTGCCATTTATCATTGACAATTTTAAGTTTTAGTTTCATTGCATAAATAAACATACAAATTCTTTGTATATCTTCATTATCATCATCATAGCACAATAAAAAATAAATCTACAAAAGTTTAAGTAAATACAATTTTCAAGTGTATGGTTCTAAAATATCGTTAGCTGTTGTTGGAACGTAATCTCATTGATGGAAATTGTGTTTTACTGTATGGGGATTCTTTCTCGCTACTATCGATAAACTGTCAATTAATGTGGTTGAATCATTCAATGTCAACACATAACCATATTTAGTAGGTCAGTCAATCACAGTTTAGTGGTACTGTAACTATATTATCAGCAACGTAGTCGTTTTAATATATTGCATTGTCGTTGCATTTCTCCTAGATTAGCCTTATTGGCTAGGAATACATTGTTTTTGATAACAGTTTAGTATTTATTTTACTATATTGCGAAAAAATATTATCCATACTTTAAGCGTAGGCAAATTTATATGCTTTCAAATACATCTTGATTTTTAAATGTAGTCTTAAGCGTTACAAATCTTGGTATGACGTTCCCTAGTTTACATGCTAGTCTGTTATGCTTTAAAATCTTGCAGTACAGTATATTGTTGAAGTAGGATGATTCCAGTGTTATCCTTACTTACGGTACTGAGTTGTTATTATGTGAACTGGTGTAACAGTGTAGTGTATAAATTGGCATTGCTGCTTACACTCTGTATCAGCCTACAGTTTTGTATATTGTTGTATCACTGGACAGACAGCGCTACGACAGCTAGAAGGCCGTATGAGGCGCCAGCCGCCTGGCATTGCTGCCTAAACTCTGTATCAGCCCACAGCTGTGTATATTGTTGTATCACTGGACAGACAGCGCTACGACAGCTAGAAGGCTGTTTGAGGCGCCAGCCGCCTGGCATTGCTGCCTACACTCTGTATCAGCCCACAGCTGTGTATATTGTTGTATCACTGGACAGACAGCGCTACGACAGCTACAAGGCTGTTTGAGGCGCCAGCCGCCTGGCATTGCTGCCTACACTCTGTATCAGGCACAGTTTTGTATATTGTTGTATCACTGGACAGACAGCGCTACGACAGCTACAAGGCTGTTTGAGGCGCCAGCCGCCTGGCATTGCTGCCTACACTCTGTATCAGGCACAGTTTTGTATATTGTTGTATCACTGGACGGACAGCGCTACGACAGCTACAAGGCTGTTTGAGGCGCCAGCCGCCTGGCATTGCTGCCTACACTCTGTATCAGGCACAGTTTTGTATATTGTTGTATCACTGGACAGACGGCGCTACGACAGCTACAAGGCTGTTTGAGGCGCCAGCCGCCTGGCATTGCTGCCTACACTCTGTATCAGGCACAGTTTTGTATATTGTTGTATCACTGGACGGACAGCGCTACGACAGCTACAAGGCTGTTTGAGGCGCCAGCCGCCTGGCATTGCTGCCTACACTATGTATAAGTCCACAGCTGTGTATATTGTTGTATCACTGGACAGACAGCGCTACGACAGCTACAAGGCTGTTTGAGGCGCCAGCCGCCTGGCATTGCTGCCTACACTCTGTATCAGCCCACAGCTGTGTATATTGTTGTATCACTGGACAGACAGCGCTACGACAGCTACAAGGCTGTTTGAGGCGCCAGCCGCCTGGCATTGCTGCATACACTCTGTATCAGCCCACAGATACAGTGTATATTGTTGTATCACTGGACAGACAGCGCTACGACAGCTAGAAGGCTGTTTGAGGCGCCAGCCGCCTGGCATTGCTGCCCACACTCTGTATCAGCCCACAGCTGTGTATATTGTTGTATCACTGGACAGACAGCGCTACGACAGCTACAAGGCTGTTTGAGGCGCCAGCCGCCTGGCATTGCTGCATACACTCTGTATCAGCCCACAGCTGTGTATATTGTTGTATCACTGGACAGACAGCGCTACGACAGCTACAAGGCTGTTTGAGGCGCCAGCCGCCTGGCATTGCTGCCCACACTCTGTATCAGCCCACAGCTGTGTATATTGTTGTATCACTGGACAGACAGCGCTACGACAGCTACAAGGCTGTTTGAGGCGCCAGCCGCCTGGCATTGCTGCCTACACTCTGTATCAGGCACAGTTTTGTATATTGTTGTATCACTGGACAGACAGCGCTACGACAGCTACAAGGCTGTTTGAGGCGCCAGCCGCCTGGCATTGCTGCCTACACTCTGTATCAGGCACAGTTTTGTATATTGTTGTATCACTGGACAGACAGCGCTACGACAGCTACAAGGCTGTTTGAGGCGCCAGCCGCCTGGCATTGCTGCCTACACTCTGTATCGATATATCAGCTTAGCTTCTTATTTATGTTGATATTTTCTGTCTTCAAATCTACGTTTACTATTAAAATATTTTAATTTAATAACATCTCCATCTCTTTTTTGACATTTTATAGTATCTTACGGTTAGAAAAGTATATTGCAGTTATTTTGCGGAAATATATACCTACCTCCAACCTAGTTCCTAGTAAATATGGTGCTAAATATGGCTGTTAAGTTGTTTTGTATCCCGACTATGAGTATATGGACAACAGTCTGTTTTATTTCGTGAGGGCTTGCTTACGGAAAGTGAGGTTTTAATGTTGTATTTTATAGTTATATATAAAACAGTCTATTTTATATACGAGTACGAGGAGTGTGGTGAGAATAATTTTTTAACCAAACAAACAGTCTCTATTTCTGCCTTTTATGATATGCATACTATTCCACATAATGTATGAAATATTGTGTAGGCTTTACGAATATAAAATTATAACCTCTCATATATTTTGGATGGATTTTTCTTCTATGGAATACTATGTGAAAGTCCGTCCATTCATATTGTATACGTATTACTTTCTCTCACTATAACTACTTATCTACACACCAAACTAAAGATTTTCAAAAGGCCATGTCAATGATGGACAGCAATATTTTATCAAATCATTATTAGTCAACATTGATTTATTTTGGTTCAAGCCAATTCAGTTTAGTTTGTTGCAATGAATTATTTTTATACCGACTAGACTATGATATAAATAGCAATAAATAAACTAGTCATTTCTAAACGTAAAATATTTTATATTAGAGAGTTTGATTTATAATTTTATTTTCATGAGTAGGCCCTAATTTGATTTTAAATTTCGAACAATATTTAATACATACATACCTAAACATTAAATATAATTTTTCTTTTAAATGTTGCCATCAAATACCATGGGGTATAATGCTATTAGGATGTATGACGTTTTGTCTAACAAACATTGAAATTTTATAATATTTAAAGTTATCAAATATGTATAGAGTAAAAAAAACTTAATTCTAACATTTTTTAAGAAGCACCTAGCCTTGAATTAGCTTTCGGGATATATGTATATATGTATGTATAGGACTACATAATTTCAACAATAACACTAATCTTTTGGTTTTTGAAAATTGTTAATTTCAAAAAATATAATTATTCTCGCCTATGAAACCTATTACCATAAGGGGTACCATAAGGGGACCACGTGGTCCTAGGGATCAAGCTGTCTCGAATTTCTGGATGTGGATTCCGAACCACCCAGTCACGGTATTATAAGAAGTGTTCGTGATTGGTTTATGATCAACGTACCACGAGGTGATTTAGCCTGGGCTTCCACGACAAATATCCCTCGCTCTAACCACTAGAGTTCATCTAAGATTAGCACTTTATTTAAATCAAATAATGTGATTAAGAATATTAGTTTTAAAACAATAATAATAGTAAACCTACACGATGTAGACAATCTAAAAGCGATTGCCCGTTCAGTTCAGTAAAAATCGTTTCAGCAACTTTCAGGAATCACAAGACCAGCAAATAAGATATATCCAAGATTACTGATATTTTGAGGATGGAAATACATTAGATACAGAAAATATTTCAGTAATATATTATATGTCGTAACCATGTAGATACATGGTCGCAACATGGTATACACGGTATTAGCATCAACATATACAATATGTGGTTCAAAAAAGTAATGGTTAATCTAAATAATAATAATTTAAGCTAGACCGAATACAAATATAAGTCTGATTTATTTTCTCCGTAATACAACATGAAGCCTTCATCTTTCTTCAAAATCAACTTGACATTAAATAAGTAAGATGTTAAATAAATCAATCCAAAACAAGTGATATTATGATAAAATTTTCAGTAAAAAACCTCCATGACCTATATATTTTGACAATCAACATTAACATCAATATTTTGAGAATCCAGATATATCAGTACAGGGCGATTTAATTAATTCGAACTGGCAATTAAATAAGCAATTAAATTGCAGAAAATTTATAGAAAAGGCTATAATAGTTTGTCAAGAAATTTTAGTGACAGTAGAAGTTGTGATTTGTGACAGCATAAGATAAAAATTGTCATGCTAGAGTATACAACTTTCATCGAAAGAAAATCATTGCTCATTGTTTCTCAAAGTTATTTGACATCCCTAGTTTTGAACATTTCCACCAAAATACAACACATGAACCACAAGACTATCAGTATGTACTGTATTTGAAAAACTGTTGGAAAGAATTTATTGCAAACGTCCAATCAGGAATTATATACAGATTGACCTGAGAGAAGCAATCAGAAAATACTGCGAAAATGTATTTCATGTTCTAGTAATCAATTTTTTGTCTCTTTATATGACATACCGACACCTACTTATCTATGCTTGAATTCGTGTTTTGCTGTAACCTTTAATAATAACCGTCGCAGTCAAAATTTTAATAAGTTAAAACTATTTTAGTAAATAATAACTAATATTTTTCGAGCAAGTGCGACAACCACTTGAAATATTTCATTCTTCAGGCAATTTTACAAATTTTTCGAACATGTGTATGCTTCTATTATTTAAAACTTACTTAGAAACTCGTGTTGAAATCGTCGTATCCCAACGCGGCACAGTAGGTACGCGTAGAGAAGCGGGCCAGGCACAACTAACTGTGGTGGTGAATCTCTCTCACCCTCACCCTCCCTCTATCAGTCTCTCTCTCTCTCACCTACTACCACACTGGACCACCCTCAACCCCCTCCCCTTCTATCACACACACACACACACGCACACACACACCTGACTAGACTTGGGTGAGTCCGATGGACCAGAGTCAACCTACGAGGTCAACTGTTTGCATAACCTACGTACAAATGGGAACAACCAAAATTACACCACGAGAAACTGCCATGGAGATTTAATTCAGATACTATATTTAAAAACTAAAGATGGTTAGTTTTAAATCCGTTTATTTCAGGCAATACGTGTTTCTGTACTATAGGATATGAAAAAAAAAACCGCCCCAGCAAACCTGCCACCTAAGCGAATTTCCATTTGTCTGAATTGAATTTCAATTAAATCTATTTAAATGACATTAGGTTTAACGACTACCTAGGTTTGCTGCTACAATGAAACTAGTAAAGTGTGTTTTTAGTAAAATATTAGGTAATAGCTTTAGCTTAGTATAATATAAATAAGTTTGCCAAGTTTAATCAAAATACATCCATAACAAGCAAACTACAAGCTTTTACAATATTATCCATAAGAAAACCATAGGAGTTTTAAATTTAAAATTTTTTTGAATTTTCTCCGTTACCAATAACCGTAAACAACACTTTGATATACTAAATTATATGTTTTTTAAGCTCTTTAAAAAAGCCTAGAGATAAATCGGAAAATTTTGTGTTTTGAGAGTCAAAAATCAGAAAAACTAATTTTTACCCGATAAATCCCCCCGTAAAATACCCGTTCCCATGGTCCGATCGTTCTGGTTCGCGAACTCATTCAAGTTTATCCCGCCTTACACTTTTAACCAAAATTCATCAAAATTGGACAAAGATTACTCAAGTTATCGCGTTCACGGACACACACACACAATCTTACCATGAGACCTACGGTAATAGCTATTTCCCTATAAGGAAATTTACCAAAAACCATAACCTCATAAGGTACAGTTGCCTCATATGTTTTTTTTATCCCTTTCATTATAATAATGGCATATAAGTAAATGAAATTGTAAATATTGCAGAACATGAGAGTTGCAAAACTCTTTTTACCTATTATCACCGGTTGTAAATGATATCGTAGAATTTTGATTACATATGTCTCTTTAGATTACAAATTAAATAAATTACGTTAGTTAGGCTCCGAATCGCTTTACTTAATCTTAGGATCTGACGTTCATTGTGGACTTCCCTGAATATTATTCAAAATAATTCAGTGTGGCAGATTGCGTGAAAAAAATATATAAAGGCTACTTACTGTTCTCCGCAGATCCTGTTAATTTAGTGCCTTAATGTTTTCGTGTCGTGTCAGTGTCTTGTGTTGTATGTATTATTTATTAAACTTTGACACAATTAAAATGAAGAAACCCTGTAAAAAATTTAAATAAATATGTTAATAGTTCAGTTTAGTGTATGATTACTACGCACCCGACGATGGAGTTATCTCCAAAACGGCCGTAGTGCTAAATTAACAGGATTGCGAAGACACTAAATAGCCTTTATATAATTATTCATTTAAGTATATGAATCGAATGAACGTATTTAATTTGCAATTTTCAATTAAGATATACTGTTATCAGCAAGATGAAAGAAATCACGTAACAAGTCTTGGATTTAAAATTAACAAAATTGTTTAGCCATTTCATAGCATTTGACATTTGGAACCTAACTTCTCGAAACTGCTAAACAAGTCTAATACTATATAACTACATTTGCTCTTCAAGTTAAAAAAATCCTTTTTAAAGATTGAAAACTTTCACCATATGTGTCAATTATTATTACAACTATACTAATTATTAATACATATTATATGATTTTTTGGTACATTAATTTGCCTCTTACAAACTGGTGGAGACACTAAATGTGAATAATAAATTTTAAATACAGTACTATTTTAGTAATAATACATTGAATAAACAATCATAACGATTATTAAATATTTAGTTATGCTCAGTAACACTGTAATATACAATGTTTGTGTTATAGTGTATTTATTTTATATACAAAATACCTTAAACTAAAATGTTTAAGACAAGCTTTTCAAGGAATAAATAAAAAAATAAATCGTCGTGTCCCAATAAAAGTTATATCAAAGTGCTGGAAATAATTTCAAGTCCTTATCCAGACAATTTAATTCTCTGTAAAGAGAAACAGACCCACCCGTTTCCTGCTGCTTAATAACTGAAGAGAAATATTATGATTGTTTCAAAGACATTCTATAAAATATAGCTTTGTGCCTAATGTATCATAAGTAAATGGAATCAATCACAGTTTTAGAGTACTTTACAGGAGAATAATTAAAAGACATATTCCTAACAAGGTGCGCTACGAGAATAATTTGTATTTGCAAGGTTAACATTTAAATGTAGTCCGTGACTTTAGATATATCAAGCGTTGGTAACTCCCTTAATGAGAGTTTCAGTAAAAAAAAAATAGTTGTCACTGGTTCAAAATATTCCCTGTAGTAAGCCATACATGTTAAACGCTCTATAAAAGTATTTAAGGAAATGTTTTTTTTTTTTTTTTTTTTAAACATGTGTTCGGTACAACCATTTGTATTTGTAAAGAATCAAATCCAAAATCATAAGCAATGAGTTAAAGATTGTTTATTATTAAGTTAACTATTTAATGCTAGCCTATAACTATTATCCTGTGACTGTTTGAAGAGGCTTACTTATCAAAATCAGGGAGAAACTGTAAGTTACTTGCAGTGTCAAGGAAAGTTCAGCTATAATCAAAACAAGCTTCAAAGTACAGTATTCAATCAGACAAGTGTAAATCTTCGTACAGGGTGCGACGTTGATTGCGACATAACTCACAAGGAACAAACTTGCCGCGTATGTATTACATGTTAACCGACAGTAATGAACTCAACACCGCGTGTAAACATAGGTATTCTCGTTTATTGTTTGTGTATTGTTTTGGTTTGATTTTTATCTGTAATCAAGGAACTATTAGTTAAAGCATTGTATATTTATTTAAAGCACATTTAATCTATCAAAGTAACAATTGTGAGATGTTTTAAACTTCAGTTTTTATCAAGAGACAGCAATAACTATGTTCAATGAGTGGAAATATTTTCATTTTACTTGGGTATACACATTACAAGCAGGTTTTGGGGTGTGAAAGCTGAATAAACAAATAGTTTTCAATCCATTTAAGTGATTTTGATCAATAACAATATAAAGTCGAACTTCTGATTCCCTTAATTAGGGTCGTGAGCAAGAATAGTATTATAGGTTTAAAACTAGATACACGATAAAGATACTATAAATAGGACTAGATGACATTGTTAAGCCATCCTAAAGGTTTACTGATTGTTTTGTTACAAAATATTGTTTTTTGTTGAACACTTTTAAGTAAAACATAAATAATCAACAATTGAACCAGTTAGGCATTCTGTTATACCCAATTCTGTGCTAAAATATTCGATAAATTTATTTTGGTAGCTGATATTACACCCTTTGCAAGTAAGCCCCAAGGGTAAGCCGACTCTCAATAAGGCGTAATCCTGTACATCCCCTCATACCGAATACTCACTTATTTTGAAAACGTTTAATATACTTATATTAACTGTAGAGTTAATGTAAATATTGTTATAGAAAAAAATATAAGACTTTTATTATTAAACATTTAATTTAAATACTATTATGAATCAACGAACCATAACCATATGAGGGATCCGTTACTGAGGGTTAATTCAACACCTAGCATTGTTAGTAACAATAAACTAATAAATTAACCATCGTACGAATTTTAAAATAACATATTTTTTTACAAAAATCTGAGAAATAGGAGCAAAATTGTTTAATATTCCTTAATAGAATAAATTATTACATTGCAAATTATTTAACATAATAAAAAGTTGAGCTTATAAAAAAAGCTATTTAAATTCTAAATACATTTTCTAAGACTGTGTGTAAATTAGAATACAACCAACCATTAAACATTAATTAGTTAAACAATTTAGTCACTATAATCTTAAATTTTGATTTATAATACCGTGATATTAATGATGGAACCCATACTCTGTTGGGATATTTAATTTTTCAGATACAAAATCAAGGTTTCTAAAATTATCTGCAAATATTACGTCACGAGAAGAATTCCTTTTTACATCATAGCGAGAACTTAAATTTTCTTTTATCATACTAAACTATTTTAAAAGTTAACTCTAAAAGTATTATTTCATGATAAAAATATAATACACCAATGAAAGTTAACAAGCATTTTAAGAAAATTTTCACTCGTCCACGGCCTCGCAATATACAACTTAGAAGTATTTATTCAAATTGGACATTTTTCAAAACTCTACTTTTCTTAAGTGCATTTTTACCAAGATAATATTTATTTGGATCATTGCTAATATGTAATAGTACAATTAATACAACCCATCCATTGTATTTTATCTTTCAAACGAACTACACTATGAAATACGTTCTTATAATTTTGGCACAAAACCATTAAAGTTTGTTTTCACATACCTACATTATAAGGGAATTTAATAAGCGGGTAACATCCCCAACAAAATACGAACACATTCTCTTAGAAAGCATATGGAAATCCTTGCTATTCTATAGAGGAATTTAATAACATATTATATTGCACAAGTCTAACATTACACTTACACAAATGGTAAATGTAATAACATTTAGTTGGTTTTTCTTATTTTCACTGTAGTAAACTGTTACATGCTAAATATAACACGTGATGATCTCATTCATCAAATCATAAATGAGGTTAAATAATAATTACGCTTGTATATAATACAAATAATAATAATAAACCATTGAGTTTTATTCTACCCAAATGTTTGTTTTAAATAAAGGAACTCGACGTTTGTAAATGTCCTTTTTTGGAGGGGTCGGGTGTTGCAATTACACGACAATAATGTAATTGTAAACTTTTCACTCTCAATGGTAACTTGTTATATC